TAAAAAGAAATAATAAATGATTTTTATTAGATTCAGATAAAAATGCTTTAATTTTTCAAGTGTAAAGATCTTTCCTGTTAAATCAGTATTTCCCGCAAAAAAAAAAGAAATAAAATAAAATTCCCCCATTAAATATATATTTATAGTTTTATCAATATTTTGTGTCTAGTCTAGATTAATTTTATCAAATGTTTTAATCAGCCTTTATTAATGAAGACCAGCAATCTCTTTGTAAGGATGTTACGCCAGTGGTGTGTATACACCGTTTAACACAGCCAAATGTTACCCCTGGGCTGAAAATCCTCCCAAATCACATAGAATATACAAAAAATACACTAACACAGTAGCAGGTGTCTTCGCGACACGTGTCCCCACTTGTGACACGTGCGGACAGGTGCCCGTGACTACAAGGGCATTGCATTGATTGAAACTTACCTGATTAATTTGCGATGATTTTAATTTATGTTTCTATGTAAAAAGCTTCTCTATATCAATTTCTATTTAATTTCATACATGTAATACAATTTTGTTGAAAATAAAATATTGAAAGTGTCAATTTAATTTAACTTTGCTTTGCAGAATACACAGATTTAAACTAGCTGACAAATTAACCTAAAGTTCATGATAAATTTAAGTCAAATCTTTTGATTTCTTTTTCAAAATATGCATTGTCAGGAAAATGCTTTTTTAAACAAATTAAAACACATATTAAGACAGAACTTTCAATTATACGGAAATACATTGCACTGATGTTACGATCCAAATCTTTGCTCTCAAGTTCCCTGGAAAACCTGTTGTCCTCTTTACCCTATATCATAAGCATATGTGGTAATTATAACTGTGCAATTTTGATCGTTTAAAGAAAACTAATACAACGCAGTTAAAATTAGTTATCATAGCAAGATACCTCCGGGTATTAGATAAAATTTTGTACCAGCTTAGCTTAAAAAGAAGACTAGAGAAACTCTTTTTTTTCCCCGGAAAATGAAATTACCAGTAAAAATAGGAGACATTTGGAAAATCAAGGAGTTTTGAATACTCCCGCACTTTACTGCAAAATACAATTTTCACTAGTAAAATGAAATGAGATTCAAATAAGGTCAACACACACCATATCAAATAGATGAGCATTTCAAGTATTTTCAATTCATGCAAGAGTAGTCTTTACAAAGAACTTATGTGTAATATATATTTTAACAATTCTATTTTCTATAAAAAATATTACCTAGTCTAGCAATATTTATTGTTACAGACAATAATTGCAAACTCGACAAATGCATGCAAACGTTTCTTGAATGTTAGACTTGAGAATATGAAAATAGAATGAAAGATATGCACTAAAATTATATACTTCTGTAAGTCATGGAATATTATTGGTGGTTCTGTAAATCAAAGTTTAAAGAAATAGTTATACTATAAGGAAGATACGGTTCAAAAACAATTATTTGTCTGCCCACACTATATCTTATTTTATTTTCATATTATTGAGTTTTGAACACCTCATTGGCTCTCAGTATGTCCACAGTAGCCTCAGTTAAAACCTCAGTATCACACAGTATCAGCTCAGTTCCCTCAGACAAACCTCAGTGCCCCTCAGTACTTCCACAGCAGCAACTGTGCTAACCTCAGTGCTCCTCAGTAGCACAACAGAATGCACAGTAAAAACCTCAGTGCAACTCAGTACTTCCTCAGTTTCTCAGTAGTAGCCTCAGTACAACTCAGGGTTTTCTCAGTACCACTCAGTACTTGCTCAGGGTTTTGTTGGATTCTCAGTGCTTTTTAGGTACAGTAGTACTTGGACACAGATTTGAAGTTAATAATTTCTAATTTTTTCTGTATAATATCACGAAATATATATTCTAATAGCATTTCACACAAAAAATTATTAAAAATCTTATTTCATTTAAAAATTATTAAAACTTTAATTTTTTGGCGGGTTTGATTGACACATCCTTGCAATTTCACAAATTTTAACTTTATTCTTAATCCTTAGGAAGAGTGGCAATTTTGATGTGTTTTAATGAGAAATATTAAAACTTTTATCAAGAAAAATAATTTTATTCAGAGTAGAAATGATAGAAAGCAGAACACCTTCACAAGTATCGTCATTCCGAACTAAGAGATGCGTACAGAGTTTAGCAAATCAAGCACACTTGTGTTATGTACACAGTTTTTGTAAACAGGGCTCGAGTTCTGTTATTGTTTATATTAGAATTCATCGGGTGCATTCAAACGTCACAGTCTGCTTACCACAACTGCACGGACTGACAATATATATTGTATGTTTGTTTTGCTTTCGAACTTGTCTACTCTGAATTTTTTTAAATTTTAGTATTAATATTTTTCATTTATACAAAACGAGATTGACACTTTTCCTTAGGATCAAGAATAAATAAAATTTGTGAGAGTGCAAGGATATGTCAATCAAACCCGCCGAAAAATTTGAAATTTCAATATCTTTTTAACGAAAAAAGATTTTTAATTAATTTTTGTGTGAAATGCTATTAAAATATATATGTCGTAATATAACTTCAAATCTGTGTCCAAGTACCTTTAATGAAAAAGCTAACAGAACAACAAAACCCCGGAGTTTAACACTTTCTTTGAGTAAATAATATAGTTGAGAAACATCTATTTTGCCTAAAAAAGTTATGCTAGAATCCCCCTGTCCTGTCCATAAAATAAATAATTCCATATATTCGCGCAAAACCTTACCCTGTGTTTTGAATTTAATACACATGAACCGAGATTTTTCGTAAAACCATGGTAAACCGGTATTCTAGCAACACTTTCAATGTATTTCAAAGGACAAACTTTCCATCTGTGCATATCTTATGTTTTGAATATTTGTTATATCGCATTATTTTTGTCACGAATGTCAGATAAGTGCCGACCGTGATACACATATAGCAAAAGAGAATATAATCGATGATAACAAGTTAGCATACCTGTATTAACTTAACTCCATATGAATCTTACATAATTTTCACGATATTTCCTTTTAAACTCCAATTTACGTATCTTTGTTCATGCTGTTTTAGCTAAATTTTCTTTACACAGCATGCTTAATCCCCAAGTTACTTGATGTACACATATGACGTCATCGGTAGTAGATTTTAATTAAAATGACAGATGCAGCATAACAAAATAAAAACATTTATTTTTGTAAATGTTTACACGTTTCTAGTAGTACGAAAGATCAGAAGGCTCATTCGAGATTCGAAGTTTAAAATACGAGATTGGAGATTCGAAATTCGAATTTCAAAATTCAAGATCCAGATTAACCAATCAAAAGCGGGTTCAACGTTTGATTATTCTCTTTTATTGTGATTTTACTATCAAGATATCGTTTAATATATTTATAACAAATGAGTCATTTGAGCAAATTATACTGCAAGCTAGAATGTTATATATAAATAATCAATGGCTTTTGATCAGCAAGATATACTTCAATTTACATTATGGCTTCTTATATATTAAAGAGAATGCATATATCAGGAGTATATATATATTGTATTGTCTACTTTGTTTACAGGGTTGATGACATATAGATAAAGTTATAAATAAGTGTAAAGTGTAAAATGATTAAAAATAACCCACTCCTTTGATTTTTTGAATAAATTAAAAATTATATATACAAAACAGAATGGCAATATGAATTAAAATAAAACCGGCATTTATTTTATCTTATATCAAAAAGTAGATGAGTCTAAATTAGAAGCAGAACTACGGCGTTATGGTTTTATATTTTAGTCTCCCACCATATCGTTATGGCCGAAGATTAAAATATTGAATTACTGTGCAGTGTAGAGACGATTCAGAATATTTCATATCTAATGATAGTCTAATACAATATCCCTCAGCAATGATCTGATAAAAAATTAATCGGCCTACTAGTTCCGCAAGTCAACGATAAGACCATAAAATATTCCATATATACTATTTTGTTTAATGAGAAAAATAAGATTATATATGTATTTTTCAACATGTAATCCATTTTTTTCATTTCGTTTTAATATATTAAAAACATTTTTTTCTTGCATTATCATTTTAACAAATGACCCCTTTGTTATAAATATATTCAACGATTGTTGAAAACATTACAAAGGGGAGTACTGAAATGTTGAACTCGCTTATGAAAGGTTAGTTTGGATCTTGAATTTCGGAACTCGAATTTCGAATCTCGTATTTTGAAACTTGAATCTCGAATGAACCTTCTGGGCTTTTGTATGTTACTATTCATTTTCTAGAGATGAATTATGTATCTAATACCAGTATTGAAAAAAAAAAAAAACTTGTGTTCAAAATTTGACGTCATCTTACCTTCTATGACGTCATAATGTAGCACTGATTAAGTCAAGGTAAATATTTTGTATGCTTCCTTATAACCCCTGTGTTCTTTTCCTATGAAAATGACACGATTAACTAATTTTTGTTTACATGTTTACTATTTCGGTAAATGTACTTGGTTTTTTGATACGCTTATTTAATGATTTTTATTCAACATAATCATCTTTAGTTATATGTAATTTCCACGACTTTGCCTCTGGACGTGATAAAATATGTATTTGTTACTTCTAGGGCTCTAATATTAATGTAACAATTCTAGATAATAAACATATTTACAAAGCTGCTATCAGTTAATTTCGTCGAAATCTTTTAAATAATCATTCAAAAAAAAAAAAAAAAAAAAAAAAAAAACTATAGAAAACATTTAGTATAAATATCCTATTATGTCAAATTCTCTCAATCGCCTTATTTGTTGTATAATATTCAAAATTTTGACTTACATGATATCACTTTCATCTTTCGTTTGTAACACGACGCAAAGTGGTTCACGCCGATGCATTGGGAGCTTTTTATTCATAACAGGTTATTAAACATTTATAAATGTAAAGCTGATCTTTTTTTAAGATTCATGCCAACAGGTATAATTTAAAATCGCTTTACTTACACCTCTGTCACCAACCAATTTTACTTCCTCGATCTGTGTTCATGAAATGGCGTTTACTAATGTTGCAGTTGTTTTATTAGTATTGAAAACTGCTTATTCGTCTGGATATGGTAAGTCTGTAAATACTACATTCCAAAGATTTTAAACTGCAAGTTAGGTAGATACAAAATGCATGTGTGTTACTACTCGATATTTATAGCATGTATCCCACCTTGATGAGAATGTTTACTCTGATGTGAATTGATCATATTCATGCACGGATTTAAGGCGTTTGGAGGTTGTTTGGGATGTTGAGAGTTTGGGATATGATCTCTGCATGTTTAGTTAAGATACTTACATGTATGGGGACCTTCGTCCTCCTCCCTGAAAAACGCAAACGCCTTTTCGGTGAAGTTATAGAGGGTCATACAAGTAAAACTGAAACACACCCTCAACCCCCACCACCCTCTCTCATTACGAGATACCTGTAGGTTACTCACATTTGGAAAACGGATTTTACACGACTGTTTTTTCCGTTTATTATTTTTTTTTTTCATCTCAGCAGAAAATTAATTTCGTGGATTGGATGTTTCTACGCTAGGTCTGATACCCCCTTTGAATAGAAATCTGGCTCGGCGCGAGAATGAATATTTACACAATTTGAAAACGTACAATGATTTTTCGGAACATAAAAACATTCAATACAACTTTTGTTTTTTTTTTTCCATTCGAGTCACTTCAATTATTAAAAAAAAAATTAACAGCTCTAGACGATATCAAGATATGCATAAGGGAAGTAAAGAACGATAATGGACACGTTGCTATAAACCGTATTTTTTTTTTCAATATATAAGCAGCATTTTCGCTCACCTATAAATAGATTCCAAAGGAATAACAGAGAAACACGCTTTTTTCTATCATTTTGTGACAAGATATACATATTAAGAAAATGCTTAAACAGTATTTACCATAATTTAATAAAAAATATCCTCATGTAACACAAATGCAAACATCAATGAAGCTAACAAAATGCGATTGTTTACAGAGGGTTGTCCAAATGTCGCTATTTGATTGGTCAAACGGCTTAGCACCTTGTTTATTCTGTATTTAAAGCATTTTTTATATATCGTTCTTGACTTCTATATCTGTAAATCGTCCACACCTGTTAAACCAATCAAATTCGTGAAACAGACAAAAATGATCAGGCCTGTACATTTAATCAAGTAATTGTTCATTTCTAGAAAACTTAGCTCTGAGGAAACTAACATGGCAATCAAATACATACAATCCAAAGGACGGACGATTCAACTCACGTAAAGCTGTAGATGGTCTCAAAGATAATCTCAGTGCATGGGGAGGTCAGTGTGCTGTATCAGGCGATGGACACAACACCGCCACCTGGTGGGTAAACTTGACGTCTATTCAAAGTATACAAAGCATACGGATATACTACAGAACAGACAATGCTGCGTGGGGTGAGACTTTCAATTTTTTCGAAAAAAAAAATATTTGAATAGTTTAAGCATTTCCTTTGCTTAAAATAACACCGTAATTGTTGCTGATTTCTCATTTAAATAGAATAAAAAAAAAAAGAATCACTAGATAAATGTGTGCGGTGCTAATGTGAAAAAAGCATGAAATTCTTAAAGGATTGTATCTTTTTTTTCTATTAGGTTTTTGAGGATTATAATTTATGAATTATGATTTATAAAATGATAATTAGGATTTTTACAATTATTTATAATATTCATTGACTTTGAGATTTAAAAACTAAAATCGTGTCAACAGACCAGTGCTACACCTACATGTCACAATTCGTATAAAATATTATTTCTTATATTCGATTTCTTTTTCAGATACGTCAAATGGCTTAACTGCGAGATTTTTAGGATTTTATGTTTACATTTCTAATACAACAAACAAACTTGATGGCTATTTATGCTTTCATGACACAAGCTACAACAGGGCAACTATACCGTCGATTGCCAACATAACTTGTCCTGTTCACGGTCAATATGTCATCTACTACAATGTCAGACCACAGGATGCAGCACGTGCTACTGAATTAAGCCAGTATGCATTCACCGAACTATGTGAGGTGGAAGTTTACGGTAAATACTTTTTTTCTTAAATTCTTATAAAATTGCTTGCTAGGTGCAGTGCTTCGAGCGTCTACTTAAGACTCATCAAGGTGATCAATGCATCACTGGTTGGAATCCAATTGTCGGCCTTGGAGAGTGGTACTTTCGATGAGATTGTAAAACCAATGTCTCGTGTCACAAAAGGTGTTGGCATTAAAAAAAACTTTCTTGCTGAATGAGCATGACTGCCAAGTATAGGTATAAGTTTGCAGCCTTTAGCTGGCATGTGATAACGTTTCCATATAAGCGATAAAAATCATAAGAAAAAGTTTGATAACTTAAGATTATTATTATAAGTGCATGAAGTGCGCTGTTATTCAAAACTACAAATGTAGGTATCTAATAAACATAATAAAACATAACTTATTCCTCATTACATTCTGTATTAGTCCTGGACTTAGATGTATACTGTTGTTTCGCCTGATATTGAAGTTTCAGTACGGTACAGGATGTTATTTGGCAAAGACTGTAGAATAACTTTGTTGATACTTGATTAAATAAAAAAATTTTTTTTTAATTAATGAATTTATTTTTGCTAGGTCTTAATACTGTTTTCAGTGATATCATTTTTGTTATGTAACAAATTACAAATGTATATAACAGTGCTGAAATGAAAAAACTGATCTTTTTTTTTCAAAATCTTCTTGAATTTAAGAAAACCAAAACCTTTAATCCTAGGTTGTAAGTATACAGGATACTATGGACCAGATTGTTCCCTCCCTTGTCGTGATACCAACTGTCGTTATTGTCACATAGAAACAGGTGCTTGTCAGGGATGTAAACCTGGATATCAGGGTCATCAGTGTGAACTGCGTAAGTGAAATAATAAATATCATTTGAAGTGTTTATTGCATAAATAACAAAAATCCTTGCTGAATATTTTGGGAGTACCATATTCTTTTACATCTTTCAATATATTTGAAAGGGTCATTATTCCCAGAATTACCAAAGGCATTTGATTTTTTTTTTGTCTAACCATGTTAATAATCTGACGGACTTTGCTTTTTCTCAGCGTAGCTTTATTATTTTTATCAAGTGAATTCTGTTTTATTCATAAGACTCGATAACTCTCAGGCACAATTATTGTTATTGATATTCGACATTTATTAAATAAGCTTGTAGCCGTTCGTCCTATGGAGAAATCTGCTCTACGAAATGTGGTAACTGTAGTGAGGGCAGAATATGTCATCATGTCAACGGAAGCTGTACAAACGGATGTGACGTCGGAGTTTATGGGGACAAATGCAAAACACGTAAGTTCGACAATAATTTGACTTATTGATCAAGTGATTAGATAATTGATTAATTATATATACTGATTTGCATACTCTGTCCCTCACTTACATGTATACACTTCAATCATTTATTGATTTATTTTAAATTATACCCTCCGAGAAATGAAATCATTTTGTTACTGCATAAGATATCTTGTTATAGAATAAACTTAGTTAGAATGAAAAACATTTCTACACAAATTTCAAACCCAAATTTGAGCTTCAATTGTCGCTAAGATATTGACTTACATGTATGGATAATGCGTCTATAGAGTTTAGATTTATTTGCACAGTAATTGGTGTCAAATTAAAATTCATAATTTATTAAAAAAAAGTATAAAATGTTTTTTTTTAAAAGGTGCTCTTTTGCCTTAAAATCATAAATTATTTTCACTAGATGAATTCAATTGCAAAGTAAGTTTGTAATGGTATAAGCGTTTAACATGTATTTTGATAATATAAAATATTCATGTAAGAAATTTCTTTCTTATAGGAAAATATCTGGATACCATTTCTCTAGAAATCAAACCGTCACGTTCAAAATCAGTTAACTTTCCATTTTTTGTAATTCTATTACCCTGAAAATTTAGATTAGTAATCTAAATAATAATTTAATGTTAGCCGAAAGTTCCCATTCAATCAAATATTATATCAGTTCCGAATCAAGGAAAAAAGTAGGATTCAGTAAGGATATAAGAAAAAAAAAACAAACTGAAATAGACCGCAAAGATTCAATAATAATTGGAGATAATGACTTCCGGAAATGTGATTATGGGGTGTTTTAGGATTTGAAATATGAAAAGAATCTGCAAGAGAAATGCTTTATTTCATTTTTGACATTTTTTTAAGAAAACTGAAATTTTATACATGTTACATTTTTTAACCTAAGAGTTAAAAAAATGTTAGCCACAAATTTATTTTCCGTAAACAAGAAATTTATTTAAAACATTTTAATTCAGTGTAAGATTCGTGCTAAACATAAAAAATAATGTTTATTGTCTGAAATGTAAAGTCAAATATAAAACCAAACGGTCAAATCTATTTTTTTAATAAAACATCTATCATTTTATGTTGCTTTATAAATACAGACATATTTGAAATACGTTAATGGACCCTTATTGTTCTACATGTTTAAATATCTTTAAATTCCCGAAGATGTTTACATTGTTTAACTGCTTTTTGTTTTTTGTTTTAAAAAGATTTTTACAAAGATGAACGTTTAAAATTAAAGAAGGGAAACAAGATAAAAATTACAAATTTTCTTTATAAGGACAAATGTGAATTCTTGGTACTAAAACCGTTAAACACGTTGATTTTTATTTTTTTGTTTTAAAATGAAAACAAAGTTTTTATTTTTGTATTTTTATTGACATAACCCAGAAACAGCATTCTTAGAGATTCTATCTTTATTTCATGGTTTTAGGATTGACCACTGAATAACAAATGTTATTTTATGTTTTGAAATAATTCTTATTTAGTTTTAAATCATAACCTTTAATTTTCAGCATGCCCCGTCGGTTGGCATGGCCATAACTGTTCTCAGATGTGTAACTGTGATAAATGTGACAGATTTTCTGGACAATGTGCATCTCCCTGCTACCCAGGATGGGAGGGACTCGTTTGCAAAGATGGTACGCTTTATTTCATAATGTTTACTTTCTTAAATAATTCTCCTTTTTTATCATAGTGTAAATACCTTCCGTACGAAATAAAGTAATAATTAAAGACCTACTTTCTGAAGCACAATTATTCCGACTTCGATGCAATAGAGGTTCCCTCCTAATGTTTTGAGCAGATTTTTATTTTATTATTTCAACATAACTATGAAAATGTTTTCATTCCTACATATACAATAAATTTAGATTCCACCATGCCTCACTATATTCAGCTAAACCGTCATGACTAAATTGCCTACCAATAACATTAAGTGGAGACTGTATTTTGTGGCTGAAGGGTGTTTAGATGAACATGATAGATTTTTCACGTTTGGTGTATTTATAATGTGTGAACTTGGGGTTTCTTTTTTACATGCTGCCTGCCCACAGAGTAATTTTGTGCAGAGGACTGTTTCATATTGGTCTAAAATTAGCTATTCAATAAACTGTCATGAATTATATCACCATATATTTGCTAAATGTACGAAGTGTAATGTATACTGTGAAAATGACGAAAAACTAACTTCAATTACAACTTAAAATCAGCGCTATTGTAGCGATATCTAAAAAACAACATCACAGACAGCCAATTTAAATTTTCTTTTCTGAATATAATGGTATTGCTTTCAAAACATTTTTTTTTCGCATGTTAATTTGTTATGCCTGAAAAATGAAAATGTTTGAGTGCAAAAAGCTAAATTGATTGAAGATGCGCAGTAGTATGAAAGGTTCTTCATTATAGCAAATTTTAATGTGTCTGTTTAAGATCAAATAAGATTGTATTTGATCTCGTAGTTTATTTGAACAGAAAAATATTGAAAGAAAAACTGTAAAATAAATAACGTAAAATTTCATTGCAAAACGGTCATACACAGTGCTCGCTAGCGCCCCAAGAAGCTCATTCACCCCCCCCCCCCCTTTTTTTTTATTTTTAATAAAAGTATGGATATAACTCCTGAAATTATACTTGATAACAAATATCAATACTTTTGATGGAAGAATCCAACCTCCTTAAAAACGATGTTTGAAATGAAATAAGATATTGTCAAACTAGAGCGGATTATATTCTACAAGAGAATTTTTTTCGAATGCTAATAAGGAAAGGTTTTATTATAATCATTTGCGTATTGTTTTGTTTTTTGTTTTTTTTTTTTTTTTTGTTTTTTTTTTATCAGATTGTTTTTTTAAATACAGATCAAATACATTGGTAATTAAAGTAAGGTCTTTTCACAAGAAAAAATGTAAAATATAAAATCCTAGCACAACCTGGTCAAAGGAAATAACCAGTGTTAACGTTTTGAAAGGTAGAACAAACTCCGGTTGCAAGGCCAAAAGCTCAAGGTTGTTGGTTTCTAAAGAAAGACATCGTCTCAAATATTACAAAATGGAATATAAAAGTTCTCGTCCTTTTATTATATTAAAAGTTTTAGACATCGTCAAAGTTTGTAAAAAGTATGTCAAACTCCAAAGGCAAAGTCAAATGGTCAAAGTTGTTGATATCCAATAAAACTTATTTTCACAAGGATTAAATATACCAAGTATCAAAGTCATAGCCCTTACTCTTCACATGTAATGACCAAGGTTAAAGTTTGTAAAATGTGCTGAGAGTATGTCAAACTCTAAGGTCAAGTTCAAATGGTCATAGTTGAAGGTATTGGGCAATTACATAGGAAAATAAATAAATTGCAATCACTTTCCAAAAACCATTTATGGGTTTTGAAATGTAATTTATTAAATTAAAATTACTTTACAAATGGAATTTATCAAATTACAAATTACATTGAAGATGATGTGTCTAAAAGTAAATTGTCCTGCACATTCCTTTATATTTGCTTGTTGGGTTGTTACCTCCTTTCCATGTGTGTTGTAAAAATAGTTTTTGAATAGAGAACATAGGATAGCAGTAAATTAACATTTCATTTTTTAGTAATTTTATTATTTAATCTATATTTACTTAAAACACTCTTATATAAATATGATCATATGATTTTTATTATTCTCAGGAATTTATCACAGTGTGACACATTTCCTAAAAATAGACCCAGACTACTTTTCACACAAACGGGAAATATCTGTTTCTATATTGTCCGTGATCAAACTTGATTAAAAGTTCTTCATTATCAATAATTATAAACTGTTTTCTTTTTTTTTAATTTAAAGTGACAGGCAAAGATGAATGTTCTACTTTTTAAATTGTACCTGTATATGCATTTATTATTTTTTTTATTGTTTACAATTAACTCAAGTCATTGTTGCTGTAATGTTCATTGTAAGGAATATACCGTAGATTTTACAAAAGTTGCCTGAGCTGTATTATACCTGTTTGTTTGATATTATTTATCAGTCTAATATAATAGATTTTTACTGTTATAATTTATTGCTTATGATATTTTCTATTTTCAATGCGAAACATAATAATTTAATGATGAAATGTAGGCCAAATAAGCTTTACAGTTAATACGCATGGACTTTCTATGTATACTTTTTGTGTATACCGGTAGGAATTAGCGTTTCGCACGGTCTGCATGACCATGAATACTTCGGCATGTCAAATAAAGTCGAAATTCAATTATAGTGTATACAGATTCCATTGATATATTTGTTTAAATTAATAAGAAAAGGTCTTCAAATTTTGACCGTTTACGGTAGCTCAGTCGGTAGAGCGCTCGCTCCGTGATCGGGAGGTTGAGAGTTCGTATCTCGGCCGCGACAGACCTAGCCATTAAAATTGGTAGCAACTGTTCCTTCGCCATGCGCTCGGCACGTTGAAGTGAAAGTTGCGGGTCCTTCGGATGAGACCTTAAAAACCGAGGCCCCGTGTCAGCGGCAGGCGTTGGCACGATAAAGATTCCTCACTGCTCAATGGCCATGAGTGCCGAGTAAAGGTCAAAATTTGAAGCCCTTCCCCGGCATACGGTGACGTCTCCATATGAGTGAAAAATTCTCGAGAGGAACGTTAAATAATATACAATCCATAAATCAATCAAATTTTGATGTTGAATCAGCATTCAGGGCTAATTATATTGACACGTTGGTTTCTTTTTGTGCAAATTCTTCCGGTCACTAGTTGGAATCGTTTATTTAAGTATTAAATACAATTCTTTACTATATTTGACTAAATAAGTATATTAATTGGATTTGAAAGAATGCAGTAGTGGTGGATATGGTCAGGCTTGTGGACAGAGATGTGGAGCTTGTCTTGGATATAAACAATGTCACCACATCAATGGGTCTTGTCTTGATGGTTGTGATGCGGGATTTGAAGGGGATGTTTGCAAAACCGGTAACAATTTATTGACTTCAGTTAAGTATTTATTTTTTTTTTTCAAAATGCGTAAACATTCTAGCAGACTTACCAGATGCACATTAGAAAATATATATTAGGTTGTTCACCTGGAAAATTTGGTATCAACTGTGAGCAGCATTGTAATGAAAAATGTGGTGAACCATATCAATGTAACAGAGCGACAGGAGAATGTGAGGGTGGATGTCAACCAGGCTGGGAGGGACTTCAGTGTGAACAAGGTACAAAAATTTAAGTCCAGCTATGGTTAATGAACCGGAATTTCCTTTTTTAAATGAATGATTTTATTGTGAATTTAATTTTTCTGATGAAATTCATAAATGAAAAAAAGTGGTCAAGTGTATTTTTTTTTCAGTTTGTAAGCAAAATAGGTATGGTAAAAACTGCTTTCAATCATGCGGATTTTGTCAGGACTCAAACTGCCACCATGTGAATGGCTCTTGTCCAGGAACATGTTCGGATGGATATCAAGGAACTTTATGCAATGAAAGTAATTCAACTTTTATAATTGATGTAGAAAAAAAGGAATAAACATTACCACAGGAATTTAATGCTTTTTAATAAAAGCTTTATCATTTTGACACATAACTATAAATGGAGCAAAATTACATTAAATGGTTTTAAACTAAAATCAAACTTTTTTTTTGTTAAGTTATTTGTAAGATAAATTGAACCTCGAACGTTTACTGACAGTATGTAAGACAGGATTTTATGGCGAAAATTGCAAGAGAGAGTGCAGTCTTTTCTGCAAGACATCACGTGACTGCAACCACGTGACTGGACATTGTAATGACGGATGTATCGGCGGATGGCAAGGTGCTATGTGTTTGCAAGGTTAATAGTTTTTCATAGTCTATATAATATTATCACAACAATCAATGCAATAGCAATAGATCAGAAATAACTGTTTTGATTTCCTTTATTCAGTTGCAGAGAAAAAGGATGGTGCTGATTGTCAATCAAGATTCTATGGTGTTCTTGCCGTTCTCTGTGTTTGTCTGATAATAATCGTCATTTTGATTGCTTATATATGTTTCTATAGGTATGATGTCTGAAAAATATTTGCAAACATTTCTTCTCTCTCTCTCATATTTTAAAATTCATAGTTATGTGTAATGACGATTCTTTCAAATATATTTTATACACCCATGTAGATGGAGTATGGAAGGAAAACTAAAGCAACTGAGGTATAAGGAAGATAAAAAGACTAAGGTTGCAGCATTAAACATGGACATTATCTCTAGTAAGGTTGACGAAGACGAAAAGAACGGATATCAGGAGCTGGGGGAACTGGCGTTATCATCAGATTACGATCGTATCTGAACTTTTGCATCTTGTCAAATATTTCAGAGTTATACAATTAAAAAGTCATTTCAGAAATAAAACAAATACAATAACAAACATGTAACTCTGGAGTTCAGTTTATATGCTGACTATATTTCTTTACCTGTGTTTTGAACGTTTATATTCATAGCTAAGAGTATATATAAAGATCCATGTTATGAAAGCAATTGTTTTATAGAGTTTTGCATATTTGCATTTTATTTGAATCTTATTTCCTTTCAACCCCCCCTTCTCTCTCTCTTTCTTCAAAATACAATTTTTTGTTTCTTAAGTGGTTTATGTTGATTTTTTTAAAAACAAAGCAAACAAATCCAGACTGTTAAACCTGAACGTTTTCAGGCAAGGATTTGTTTTAAAACCAGAATTTTGACAATTGTGTATCAAAGCTGACAAAATAACTGTGAAAAGTGTCATCAAAACTCAAATACATAAAATACTGGAAATATATCTGAATCTAATAAATATGCATTTCATCCAGTAACTACTCTAATTTAAGGGACTTTTTTTTACATAAGTGTATGTGTAATTTAGGGTATGACGTTCATTTTGTAAAATGGTATCTTAATTTTTTTTTTTTGAAATAATACCACTTATACGAGCCTGTCTCGGATAAGTGAGTTTATTTCAGTAACCCTATGTCCTTCCATTCCGGATATCTTAAGCCCTTACAGGTATATAATTATATGTACCTTTAGTCCCAACCTATCAATCCGGAAAATTTAGGTCCATATACATATACTAGTCTTATACTTAGTTGTTTCCTCCTCTTCCTTTCTTGATTAATCGATAAAACGGTAAGGTCATGGAAAATTTTGCATAGGCGTCGGAACCGGGGGGGGCTAGGGGGGGCTTTTTTTTTTTTTGCTTGTCAGGTTTTTTTGGAAGTACAATTTTTTTTTTTTTACACTTAGCCCCCCCCCCCCCACTTTCAATTTGCTTCCGACGCCAATGTTTTGTGAAGTTGAATTGTTGCAACATTTTAATTTTCGTAATGAAATAAGTTTCATTTCATGAGTAACTGTCATGGTTTGTGATTTCTAGCCAAGTTAGACGTGCCGATGGTGTAATTTTACTTTGGATTTTGCCCGAGATTTTTTGTTAAGATCAAACCGACAAACGTCGGCCAATTGGTTGAATTTACACTATATGTTATAATTTGAATGATAGATAACAGCAATATGAAACATATGGAAGTCAAGGGATGGATTAACTTTTGTAATTATTTTTTAGGAGTAAAAAGTAATCAATTCCCGATTCGCTTATGGGTTGGGGGGGGGGGGTCAAGCGCAGAAATATGAAGCCAGGCATACTAATCCGTTTTAAGCTTTGTTTTCCAATGTTATGAAGCCTGAAGAAGGTACTTAGTACTTGCACATTTTGCCAAAATTTAATAGTCTTTAAATGTCCTTGACTATTGAACATTCACGAGGATTGCGTCACTTTCACTTCTGCAGTAATTAAAGTACTGAAAGTACCGAAAGGATGTTGGTTAATATCATCATTGTTTATATGAGTCATTTGCAGTTTGGTATCTTTTCATTTATTTGCAGGTCTATGGGAACATTTTATGAAAATGCATAAAGGCATAAACAGATAATATATTACCGAAAAATAAAAGGACATAGTGTTATATGAACTGATTTTTCTCTTAATTTTTTTTTTTTGGAGGGGGGGGGGGTATTAGGACCTTTTTTTTTTTTTTTTTTTTTTTAAAGGGGGTGAGGGGTCTCTCAAAATTAGGATACTCAATAGTTAACCATGGAAATTGTTGTTGTCCACCTGGTCAACGGCTATAAAAAATACAATTTTAAGAGGCTTTTAGAGTGAGCTTTTTGCCTCAGGGTAACTAAGGTTCTACATATTGTAGACAAGAAAGATGTAGAATTTGGCTTCATAAACCGTAGCATAAAGCAGCAACAATCAATCATTCATATGCCTTAGAATAGATATGCTGGTTTCAGCCACAAACAAGGAGCAAATTATATTAGTACAAGGCGTAAGAGTCACCCAAGGGTAAGAAGCTGTGTCTCGAGATTCATACTGGTCCTTTAAAAATGAAATTTAACTTCACAAATTGATAAGAAAATAAATCATTCTGCTCAGATTGAGTTTTCGATAACTTGATAGGATTGACTGGAATGCAAATTAAAGTTTGTAGATAAGCATTTAAATAAAAATGTTAATAATTTCAATTTCTAATAGGACTAAATTCTCTACCCTTAAATGTCGTAATACTCTGACATATTAAAGCATTTTATAGTCAAGCAAGCATTGCCAAGAAGAAACAAAATTGAGTAACTTAGCAGTACTTAATTAACAAAGATTGCATTGGGGAAAGTGATCTTTAAACAAATAAAAATTAAAATAAAGAATATTATATTAAATGCTGGGGTGGAAGGATGTATGAAAACAGTAGAAATAGAATGGCAATTAGAAAATAAATAAATTAGAAAATAGATAAGTAAATAAATAAAAAAATAATAACAATAATAAAATAAAATATTTTAAATGAATTCTTTTAATCAATTTAAATGAAGGGAGATAATTCTTACCAAAATTTAAAGTAATAAATTACGACACATTTACCCTTACATGCTAAGCCTAATGGTAATAAATGAGAGTTATTTCGAAATTAATTAAGTATTTAACAGTAACACATCTTTAATGTATTCAATGTCACAGACCTACAGCATACTCCAGACTCTATATTCTCAGATATTTAACGAATTTCATCATTCAAAATTGTTTTACATTGACCAATCCATTTTCATTTACATATAGGTATGTCCATTGCCCACCAACTTATCTGAACTATTTTGCATGTGTGACTGATCGTATAAGAAGCATTGTTTAAGGAAGTTCTCAAGTAACATAACCAACAAAAAAGCCATAAAAGACATATGTGCTTGCTTATTGTCATACATTACAACCTGTTTCAGTGTACATAACCTCAAAATTCAATTGCCAAAATTTAGTGTAGAATATTTAATATTGTAGTTTTGCACCAATACACAAAATCAACAGATTGATCTTGAGTCTGCATCACAAAATACATTAATTTTTTTATAATCATAATAACTCTCAAATGATTTTACTATGCCATTTTGTATTGGATAGGATAATATCTATGGTAACTTAATTGGTAAGGCACATGTTTTATCATGATTGATCAAAACAAGTTTTACAAAGCAGTCTTTGGGACAGTCGTACTCCAATTTTAGTAATATCAAGTTTACCAAAATTATTGGCAAAATTTTAAAAATAAAAATATACAAAGAATCATGCTCTCTTGAAAGGAATTATACATCTAAAGTAATGTAAAAAAAAAAAAATTCCTTTTTAGTGTTAAGGCAACTAAGAATTGGGTGTATCACTCTGTGCGTCAGCATACAATGACCTAGCTTGAGTTAATCAAACTTGCAGATGGCAAATATTAATTTTCGCTTGAATATAATGATATACCAAATTCCATATGCTCAACAATCTCTTGGGGGGGGGGGGGTATTAGGACACATTGTTATTGTTAAAAGTTGTTAAAAGTAGCTTCGTACCTTAAGCGAAGAGGTGAAACCGTGACAGTAGCTTGTCCTGTTCCAATTTTGGTTTGTTTCAGTACAAAATCCTTTAAGACAACTATAAGCAACACTTGCAAAGATAGTTATATTTTTCTAAGTTCTATATTACTTTGTCACGCAAGGAAACTTGGTAAGAGGTGTTTTAATTATTTAAAAGCCATAAAAGAGTTACAGCCTTTTAGGTAATTTATACAAGTAACCAATGGAAAAATACAGTGTCGGTAAGTATCAACAATGTTAGAGGAAATAGTAGTTGTTTTATACGGACAAGTCCTTGGCTCCTTTTGTAAAACTTGTGTAATCACTTATTCTGTAAATTTTTCTTGATGAATGAGCAGGCCCTGGTCGACGGTGACCATTTGCGTTGAGGTACTGCCGCCGTCACCATGGTTCTTGGCACCCCATTGGTGGCGGTTGCAGTTCCATGATTACTCGTAGTAGACACGAGTATTCATGGCCCTTGCAAGTGGCGTATTCCGTCGCACCTCAAAGCAATTGGACGAGTGCAACACATATTCTTACGCTCATTCCATTGTTTATTGACTTGATTGATATTTGAATTGATTGATTGATTAACAATTGATTGATTGACAAGTAATTGACTTGATTGATATTTGAATTGATTGATTGACTGATTGATTAATAATTGATTGATTGAATTTGATTGATTATTGCATTGGTGACGTTCATGCACTTGTGACCTACCCAGTGCATGATCCGCCCGATTTGGGTCGTCACATTTGTTGTATTGATTGTTGATTGTGGGGCAGCCCTGTGGTAGCCCCAGCAAACTCATCACCGCGGCCAGAAGCGCCATATTAAACAAGCAAAATAACATCCATATTGTTTGTTTGATTTATAGGGAATCTGAAATAATACCACTTATACGAGCCTGTCTCGGATAAGTGAGTTTGTTTCAGTAACCCTATGTCCTTCCATTCCGGATATCTTAAGCCCTTACAGATATATGATTATATGTACCTTTAGTCCCAACCTATCAATCCGGAAAATTTAGGTCCATATACATATACTAGTCTAATACTTAGTTGTTTCCTCCTCTTCCTTTCTTGATAAATCGATAAAACGGTAAGGTCATGGAAAATTTTGTGAAGTTGAATTGTTGCAACATTTTAATTTTCCCCACCCACCTTCCTCTTGTTTTAGAACAAATACTGCTGTTCTTGTTATGTCAATGTAGCTGAAGACTTCCTGCTTGGCCTGTGTCGACAACATCCCATGTCGCAGTGATAATCGTGTGCTCCAATCTTCCTCAATTGTGCCCTGTTTAGTCCAGCGTCTTCATCAACTTGTGTTGCATTAGTGAATTCTGTATGATTGCGTATTCTTCAAAGACTGCCTCTTGGGTACAGCGTTCTCATCAACCAATGTCGCGGTGGTGAG